TCAGAGATACTATGTTTTTACTGGAAACAATATAAACAGTGCAGATCTGAGAAAAGAATTGGGTATATCTGTAGTATTCTGTACACTGTCTGTATCCAATTAATATATTCAGCATCAATACACACACTACCTGTGTATGCCATATCCCTATAGATTTAAGCACATGTTGCATATAGCAGCCGTTAGCATGATTTCTGTGCCTGCAGCTAGACAACTTAGTATAATGTGACTCCAAAATATTAATCTCCAGGAAAATGATCAGAAATCTATATAAGCTGTCATTTGTGTGGTATAATGCCTTTAGCCTCGACGTATTGTGCCCGTGGCTTCCATATAGTTCTAACATATAAGGTCTATATACCCTGGCTGCAAGGCAATCATAAACTACACTCTTTAGACTCTTGTTCATTGAATGAGGAACTTTTTCATGTCCACCAACAGCCATTAAAGTCTACAACGAGCTAGCTGCCCAAGCTCTAAGCCAACATTTAGTCCCATTTGAGGCACTTCTGTTTTAACAGTTACCACTGGTCTTTTTAGATCTTCTTTAATATACATCTGCATATATGGCTTGTTAGCTCTGGGCGAGGCCTAAGGGGATCATAGCTTCTGTTCATATTAATAGCTGGGACATGACAAAATGCCTTTGTTCATACATCAGTGTGTATCATATCATACATAGGAAGACCTATATCGACTGATCACACACTCTAAATGTATGTACCTAAAAGGATATACATAAAAGATGGAAATGATTCATGTATTAAAATCATCCTAGAATCGGTTGAACTGCCAGTGTAAAGATGTGAATGCCAACCTATTTCACCAGATATTCTTGTATTTCTAAGTTCCCCATGATCTAGCCATTTTGTCTGTGACAGACATTTCCTGAAGGTCTGGATCTCCAGGGTGACTATAAAATGCAGGCATATGGACATCCGTCAGTGTCAACCATGGCTAGCTCCTGGTATACCCTAGCAGGTACATGTATATGGCCACTGTTTATTTATGCCTTAGACCAAATTAGAGTATGAACATCAGTCATAAGCCTAGATTTTATCAAAGAAAATGTCACAAAACCAGTCATTACTGAATATATAGGTAGAACAGGTACTAAATTTCAGCTCCAAAACAGAAAGCATGCTGATCATATTCCAGTGGACAACAACCACATCACAAGAATCTTGTTGATGATAAGGACAAATTACATTACCTACATTGTTTACATCTCATATCTTAAGTACATACATGTACATTACCTATAGTACATAAATGTTGACATATTAACATTAAGCCCATATAGGTAAAACTATTCCAGAAATCTATCACCCGTATGTTTTAACTCTTTTCATCATAACAGGATTGACATTGTAAAATCACTTTATAGAATAAATAAAAGGAACTCTTTGAAGGATTGTCCTTCAAACAAAGGACATTCTAACTCTCTAAATTCTTAAATACAATCAAATGGAGCACATGGCCTTGTTACACATTTCACGTTTGTCCTTATCTGATGATTTACATGTCATATGTATGGTACAAGGGATGGGTGATTGTATCAGGGATGGACAGACAAGTATTGTCCTGAAGTCATGTAAAGTGTGTTTTATAATCTACTTATAAATCATACATAAGATGTATAAAACTGTTATTCATTATAATTAACACCAGCATCAATTTGACCTTACATATACAAAATGTACAATATATAAATAACTACCTATGTACTAAACATTGAGCTGTCAATCAAAGTTTGTTTTGTCTCTTATATACCAGGTATATATATTCCAATAGCTAGGTATGACCTTATACCACATGTGGCTATTGCACAATGAAAATAAGCACGATGACCATGATATTAATCTCCTCCCCATGAATGTCGCTAGCATACCTCCTTAACCTAGCTCTTCCCTGATCTATGTGGAAATAGCAGTCAACATGTGTACTGAACACAAAGTTAACTATCCTATAGGTTGTGTTAAAGAGACTGCACATTTGTCAGAAATTATGATAATGCATTTATTATATCAAATGTGGTACATGTATGTACAATGTAATGTAAACTTGTGCATTGTTATAGATTATTAGGTCAAATGTGGTATATGCATATTTACAGTAACCAAAAACAGTGTTGGTGACTTAAGAGTTTGTTAGGACACAGTCTACCCCTAATTATATAGATTTGTGTACTTACACACAAACTCAATCTGATAACAAATTAGCCGGCATCGCATATCAAGAGAAGTGAACGAAGAGACAAGCATAGATTTAGATATTATGTCTTTTATTGCAAACAGGAGACATTTAAAAATTCTTAACATACACATTTTGAATTCTGTACAAGATCTTCTTGTAGATATTTTGAACAGAATTGCTCAACATTTGTTTGGTAACTATTATGTTACAACCCTGTACAAACGATGTCAATAGCCTGAACAATGCAAGTTTTTACCATCATACGTATATACGTAATACCTGAAAACTGCATGTAGAGTCGCTTAGATCTGTCAAAGCTGCAGGGTGCAATATATAGGATAAACACTGTCGGGCCTCAGTGACATTATATATCTAAAGATATAGACATCTTGATCAGAATTAGAACTGGATTACCAATTTGTTGTATGTGACACTATATTTATACCTACAGAATTACTTATATCAGTACATGTACTGATAACTAGTGGCTGGAATCCGGCTGACGGTAGGGTTGTACAATGTTATCTAACCAAGATTAGTTTTGTAATTAAAATAGATGCTGGTATTACATGGGTGTTGTCTATATAGTTCATGTACCTACATGGATATTGTGGCAGGTTATCAAGTACATCTATGTACAGGTAGGTATAGAACTGTGATATCAAAATCAATAGTCAACACAAAATGTAGCTATTGAAAATTTAGACAAACTTCATTCTTTCTTGAAATGACCATTTAAATTGTTTTTAAATCTGTGCATATCTCCATATTTTGTTCCAAAGTAGTTTTTCCATCAGGAAAATAAAATAACTATCCACTGTTTTATATGTTGGTGCAATCGATACACAAAAGGAATAGCTTGCAAATTGTGTAAAATATACACCTAACAATCACATAGATTTATAGTACACAACTATCCATTTACCATACAAAAACCGCTGGCCATGGTGCTACCATGAGATGTAGAATAAAAAATGGGGATTTCCTTGACTGGTTATTTGGTTGTTTTATTAGAAAATGAATTGGATTTTTCATTAAATTATGTGTGGGCTTATTACCAGGCATGGGCTTATTCCTAGCCATTTTTAACATGATAACAGCAAAATAAATCTCACTATCTAATGCAGCCATTTGATTTTTTATATAACGAACATCTAAAGAATCACGCTGCAGCATCACAGTAAATTTGACTGGCTTTAAAGCCAGATGCCACTCCCCTGTTATCAGTATGATATGTATCAGAGTAGAGATTGGTCCAATTTTTCATTCCTGAAACCATCCAATATGCTAAGATTGCAAAGGCCATTATACCAGCAGATAATTTTCCTTGGCAGCCTTGTTTTTGTTCCAATATTTCTGTATACGACAAAGCCATTTTGTTGGCGTAAGTTTTCCAACAAAAGCAGATGGACATGTCCTGTTTATCATAAATAATACATGGACCAGGAAATTTCTGGAATTAAAGCATTCAAGTTCTATTTTTAAAATCACTGGGTGCACTTCCATTGATAATTAGAGAAGGTGACTTAATTATGTCAAACACAGGCACCTGTTCGACAAGATGTGACTGTATAATCTACATGACCAGCATGGACAATTCTGATACAACCAGGTCTGGAGGTCGATCCAACTGTGATTGTCGTAATTTTTAAACAACTGTCATTTTCTCTTTTATAATTTCATTCTCATACTTAACTTTTTTTTATAAAAAAAAATCTTGTAAATAAATTTGATTTAGTTTTATATTGTGTGTAGAATTACTACATCCAATGACTAGCAACAATCAGTAGATCTGTAAAATAGACCTGGAGGGCAGGAAGGGGTTTTATCAAGCCAAGCGGGGTTAAAAATGCACAAGTATCCATGGAATGCCCTTCTGACATCCATTCACATTGAATAATCCATTCTCCATGTCCTGCTTGTCTGTACTGGAAATTTTATCTCCTCTCTTTCATTTTATGTACATTGATTTTTACTAAGTCGACCAGTAAACTAGCGGAATAAATTGACATACGGACCTAAGGCAATATTTAGTTTCATGTCGACAACACTGTGAAGGAGAAATTCCCAGATAGGCAGCTTACAATGACTACCGTACACTGTGTATTCAAATTAGCCCCAGTTGGTGTAGATTAAAATTGAGCTGGTCTCTGTGCCTGTATGTACAAATAGGCAGTACCCTACTAAATATTTCTTGATAAGGTTAGCAATTCATCTATGTCAGCTATAGCTGCTTAAAGAAGCCAACCACTCCATAACTTATTTAGTTGTAATCGGGGTTAGAAATTAGAATACCTTTTCTGCGTGTTCAGTACTTGGTGTGGGGATAATAGATGGGCCTACCGTACAGGGACTCCTTCTTTTATATTTACCCGGTGAATGAAAATTGTGAAAGCCATACAAAAAACACTTAACGTAAGTATTCAACTCAGTTCAAACATTAACGTTACAAGTGGTAAAATGAACTTTAAGCACTTTTGAGATATTATCATGAGAAGTTTTGGGTAAACAATCCGAAACAAATGCCATTTTATTAATGTGTTATTGTAGATATTTAGCCTTGTTTATCGGTGTCTGTGTAAAAATCCAGCTTTGTATCATGGCAGACGACTAACGATTAAATAGTCAATACACTGTAGCCAGCTTCACACGTAAAATAAAGACAAATGACAGAAAGGAAATCAAATATTCATTGAACAATGTATCGACCTGTTTCGCTCAGCTGTCATTCCTGAAGCATGGTCGACGTCAAACAGTACCGATCGACCCTCTGTTTCTAACACAAAACTTTCACCCTTACTCACCAATTTGTAAAACACTATCAACAGCACCATTTTCTAGAAGTCTTACTCCTTGATGGAAGGGAAGTTTTTGATTTTCTGCGCCATCCTTCCCACAATTTGCGAAGGAGGAGTACATACAAATATCCTTTTCGTTACGAGGGAAGGACCAGAACACGATTCGCCCCTGAACGGGTTCGGGGATTCGATCGAAACGTTGTTCTACGGTCTGAAATGGGATGTTTTCCGCCACAATTTTAGCACAAATATCCAGTAGAGATTCCACTTTACCACCGTGTCCACTTTTAACATCCTTAAATCCCGAATTCCCGGCATTTTGGGATATCCAACTAGGAGCAAAATTCGTACACAGCCTTTTCGGAGCTGCCATGAGGAAACATCTGATGGATTGCACAAACCGGTATGCGCATGTGCAGTAATTCTTGTGGGAGGTCTACGCTTGCGTATCGTTTACAAACGTTTGCGTATGCTAGGTAGGGGCCTCAAACATTACCTATGGGAAAATCCCTTCGAATGAATGAAAGGTCAACACGCCCTACGATAAGCATATGTGAGATAAAACACTTCAATGGATTTCCGTGATGAAGCGATTTGGTTAGTGTCAACATGAAACTTAGAATCATTTCCGTTTTCACGAGAAAGAAAGAACCGACAAAATATATAAGAAAAGACAACACAAACTTCCGTATTCCGGCTAAATGTAAATAATTCTGATCATGACTTAAATTGGTTGTTGCTTCTCTGATAAAACAAACAATCGATGAGCCCCGCCCACAAAAACATAAAATACTATCAAGAACTCATTACTACGCTATCACGTCACAAGACCGACAAGTCAACTCAGTACAGAGAAGTGTGACCAAGTGGAAAGATTAGTGTTCTGCTGTATACGTGTGTGAAGTTAGTGAACTTATATTACAGTACACAAATAAGGAGGGAAACGAACTTCCTATTTTATATTTTTTTCCTGGCATATGGCATCTAAAAATCTCACAATCTGAATAGTACAATACACCTTGCATACTTCAGAATTACTCACTAGCATATTTAGTATCACAACCAGGTTTGCGTTTGTAAAGTTTTTATACAATTAAATTTACACAGTGACGTTCCCTTAATCTTTAAAAGTTACGTCATTTTCCCACTAGATTTATGTTTTACTCTCTTTCATTTTCATGACGTACATTAATCATAAATTTCCTCTTCATGTATGCTTATATATATAATTAGCTGTAGGTTTGCTATTGATATCACTTCATCTCCACATATATATACGTTGATACTGACGTCATTCTATGAGACACGATGTTAAATTTTTCCATAAAAATAGTTTTAGTTAAACTCATGATATCAGAGATGTAATATGTCACACAATTTTATTCTAGTCATTGGAACGGATAATTCTATAAATATTACCAATAACCTTGTGAATCTTTTTTTTGTGTGTGCCAAATTTCAACAAAAACAAAAAAAGAAGTCAGGAAAATTAAAAAAGAAATATTGAAGACATTCACACAGAAACAAAATTGAAATGAAGTGAAGTGAAAGGCTTATACCATGCCACTGCGCCAATAAATAGCACTGAATAAAAATTAAACTTACAAAATACAATTTTGTTTTACCAGGGAATTAGAGTTTACCTACACTAAGTCCTTAGACTAACTTGTCTAGTATGTTTATTAAGACAAATATATGAAACTGTTATTCAAATTCACAATCAAATAATAACATTCAGTATTTTTTAACTTAACAAATATCTGATTCTTCAGCTTCAATTCAAGCAGAACATTTTCCATCTCTACTAAAGTGAATGCATTTATTTGTTAACCGATTTCCAATCTCAGTTAAACAATAAAGCACGCACAAACAAACAACAAGCGGTTTGTAGTTGATGATTTAAAGACAAATAAATAGACGTAAATCCTTCATGTCGGTATAACTGACACACGATAATTCTGGGCAACATCTGGTTGTGATTTACTACTACTACTGGTTCTGGGTTTGAAGTACCAGCTTTAAAGTACCAGTACTAAGATTTGAGCTGTCTTGCCTGAAAAAACACTACACTTTCTTTAAATATCAGTTTAGCTTACTTGCATAAGACCAAAAATAAATTCAATCTCGGTCGTATGGTTTTCTTCATCAACATTAACATCAAAATTCACGTTGAGTAAGAAGTCCATTTTTCACCTGCTTTAAAGACGACAAATCTTAAAACAAAACGAAAGCGTCTAACATAGTCCGAGATTTGAACAAGTACACTTTCAGAAAAATATTATTGAATTAAAGAATTGTTTCCTAACGCTATTTATTTGTTCGTTTATTTTTATCATTTGTTTTAAGCAAGAGTTGGGTAACGTATGAATTAAGCATAACATTATAATTACATATTTGTGAAATTACTTTGTTTAGCGTACCACTGAAGGCTAGTAGACCAGAGATATTGGACCTGTAAATATATATCAATATAGTTTACAATGATCACCCGGTGTACACTTAAGATGAAAACTGTGGGATCGATCTCGTACAAACTGAAATCGACATACAGGGGGCGCTATCGCCCAGTAACAGCACGTGTACGACTCTGTCGGGAAATGAACGTGCATTTTAAAATAACATAGCATTTAATCACCCCTGCACGGCAAGATGTTAGGTCGGATGGCATGTCTCCTGCCGCGCAGTATTAACCAGACCCAGAGGGTCTCTTAGGATGAGGAACTTTAACCCTCATAAAGGGGGACACACCCGGGAACTCAACACTGGCGCCATCTGATGGCGATATACAAACATCCGTGATAAAACGTCTACTGGCCTGTTTAATTATGTACATGAAAGGTAATGTACCCTAAAGGAAAACAGACTTGGAACAAACATCGATATCGAATCCATATTATCACAAGAAAATTGAGATATTCTATTCAACTGGCGTATTTCGGGCTATAAAATTGAGATGCAGATTATGAAAGAATGAGGCAAACTATAATAGCAAAGAGAAGTATTAAATATCTCATTTACATTGTATAAATTAACATTTACATTGATAACAGAGCGAACAGGGTATATGAAAGGAGATGATGGAATTCAATATCCGTGCTATTTGAACCACATGTCACAAGATAGCACGGCGATATCGGTAGTGATGCCACCTGGCCGTGCTTGTATGGACTAAAATCTCGATAACACTTCTTACAATACATATAGGTTTAGAATAGAAATAGATATATATACATAACATTTTCAAGAGGCCCATTAGGCATATAGCTTCTACAATGGCCGTAGCTTTTCGTTGTACTAACAAGTGATATGCTGGACGCCCGTTTTTTATGTCAAATTTTCGTCCGTATCCGGTTAATATTTTGAATTAATTTAAAACTTGTTTGTAGCGGCAGATCTTTTGGAACAAGATTAAGAATCACAAGAAATCTTTACTGCATATGTATGAGATATTACACTGTGTTAAAATCAATGAACGTCTTCTAATCGGTTTTGTAGATAGACGGTCATCGTTGATCCTGTGGACGTGTAGGACAACAGACGGTTTTATAAGGGCTTTCGTGTTGTTGGCCACTTCAGGGCAAGACTTGACTATCGATTTCGGTGCGACATTTAAAAAGGTATACCTCTCCAACATCACACCCGTGCCAATACCGAATCTAAAATAGTTAAAATATCGTAACCTGACATCCAGGGTTCGGAAACATCGTTATTGCATCGTCTCCAGACCTCTAGTCTCGCCATGTAGCCGCTGCTTCGACTAATGTATTGAATTTAAGTCACAATGCCGCAATTAATACAAACTGGGTCCTTACTTTCCGCCAAGAATGAATAAAAGCTCTGTAATAACTCACTCAAAATCATATTTTGTAATAGAGCAAAAATTATTTTTGTAGCAGTTCCCGGCTATGTTCGTTGATCAATAAGCACGCGCGCCGCTCGCGCGTCTCCAGGGAAACAACATCGGCGATTAATTAACAAATTTACAGATCAGTATCCGTTCTCTATCCCGGCGGATGGTTTCTGTTAGAAAAAAACGACGAATTTTTTTTGACGCCGTGTCCGGAGGGAGGTAATTATCCCCCCTGCCAAGCAATGCACATCCCCAACAAGCATGGCGCATGTCAGCCTGCGACAAAGGTAAGAGCACACTAAATAACGGCACACGCGCTCTTTTTGTTAAGTCCCTGTGGTACATTTCTCCACACGACAACACGTATGAAATGAGTGCACGTTTTCCCTGGGAATCTGTGACTGTATCGAATTCGATAGACCGACATGAAAATACATATATAGTTAATGAATGTTATTCCACTATTCACCATCAGAGCCGTGACAACCCACACGTAACGACGTATTGCCCAGAAAAATACCAAATATCACCACCGATAGATCTGTAACACCAAGAGAACTACGTTGTCCTTAACTAGGATCATTTTGACCATATACCATATTATTTTAAGTTTTATGTGATATCCATGGATAAAATTTTAGGCTATCATCTAATTATGTCCTGCTTGATACAACATCCTGTTTAAAAAAAAACTCTGTACTGAATAACCAGTCTATTAACAAACCGTAGACTGCACTAAACATGACCATGAGTCAAACGACATTTGTCACCCAACCTACTCGACTCAATATTATTAACATAATTTTCGATCAAATTCTTTACTATACGTGTGCGTATGTAATTTGTAACTCGTGCATTACTTTATTTGTGAATCACTTATCTATTGCTCAGCTGTGAAGTCTGTTTGTATAGACATATGCCATATACAGGAATATTGTTCATTAATTAAAATTTTATCTTTAGGAGCTGCATTTTACATTCAGAACCATTAAATGTGAATTTTCTTCTTCTTCTTCTTCTTTTAATATAACATTTTTCTTATGATGTGACACCACTAAACTGTGTTCGCAGTAAAAACTGAGAAGAGAAAGACAAGATACAGAGTCCGTCATATCCGTCATTTTGTTGTATAGAATATCCTATAGAACCTGTCATACAATCAAACCTTCCTTGTTATGCAAAGCAGCAGCATATTTTACACACAGCCTTGTTTGTACATGACCGGGATATGTCTAGGGCATGTATTTATTTTAAATTCAAATCACTTTGGAATTTTAGACATGAACATAGTATGATCAGGACCGTATGGTGTTTCTTATATTTTAACTAGATTTACAGCTAGACTCTTTTTTTTTTAATTGTTAATCAGAAATACATTTTAACACCAGGGTTTTCTTGCCTTATGGAGCAATTACTCCGTAGCACATTTTCTACAGTAATCTTGGTACAATGAAGCATTCGGCTCATTGATTTAATCCGTGACACTGAGTCTACTTGTATAAATATAAGTTTTTGATAAGCAGCTATCACTGTAAAGGT